ATTGGTGGAGGATGATTTTGATGATGGGAATTAGTTTAAGAAGTTGTTTATGACTTGAATCAAGTGGTATTATATGATTATGGTTGATATTGTTGTTATTGGAAAACTTAGGGTACCCCACAGCCAAGAGGACTTTTTACCTAGGATTGGTTTTTACTTGTTTTGATGCTTCTAATATGTTTAGAATGAAAAATTATGTAAGATACACCTAAGGAATAAGTCTTGGAAGCATTGCAATCAAAATTGGAAATTTAGGTGAAAAAGAGGAAGTGTTTTGGCCTAAGGGGTTCAAGAGGAAGGAAGATGAATTTCATAATTTTGAGCTCATATTTGGATTCTACGTGAAAAATAATGTAGGATTGGCCTGAGAGAATAATGTATGAATAGATGGAAACAAAACTCAAAAATTAGAGAGAAAGAGATTAAGGGTTTTATTCAATTCAAGCATTGACTTTTGTTATGACGTGAAATATAATGGTTATGCCCCTTGTGGGATAGGCTTTGATATTTGTGAAGGAAGGAGCCAAGAACAAGAAGAGAGAGAGTTAAGGCTTACTTCACTTGAGGTAGTAAGATTTAATTAACTTTGTTGTTAACATTGTATTGTTGTTATGCTTATGTTATTGCCATTGGATGGTTAAGCTCTATGAAAGTTTACGTATGACTTGTGGTTGCTCCTTGCAATGTTATGCCTTGGCTATTGCATGTTAAAGTTTCACAAAGTATGGGTTAGTTTTAGTTCCCTAGCAATGGCTTTTAATAAAGTTGTGTGATAATGATGCTTGTTGATTTTATTTTGCTATTAGGATTTCTATGAAATCTCACTCCTCCCAAGTTTACCATGATTCAAGTAGGGTCAGAGGCACTTCGAAGAGGGAAGAGCATAATGGAAGAATAGCTTCATAGTTTTACATTCCATGGTATGAACTTGATATATATATGTAATAATGCTGGAAATTGTTGCCTATGGAGCTGTAAACTTTGATAAATATTTTGAAGTAGTTTTTGTATGAATTTGGCCATGAGATTTTGTATGCTTATAATACACATCTTGAGCTTTAAATCCATGGATAATTCACTAGAATTGGAGATGTGTGCAAATTATGGTGATTTTTCAAAATTAGTGCTTTAAATTTGAAAAACAGTTTTGACCATATGAACAGTGTAAATTTTGTACACTTTTGGCACTGTTCCAAAACAAGTTAGCCCCTGAAATATTTGTCTCATGTGGATCTCTTTGAAATCTTTCAATTGGACTTGGAACCACCTCATTTTGATTTTTATAGAATTAGTTATGAATTTTCAAAATTGGCCCAAAAATCTAAATTTACCAAATGAACAGTACCCGAGAAAGCAAAAATTCCAGTTTTGTTTTCTTGCGTTGTAAGCCATCCAACGTGGTTCCAATTGACGTAAAATGAACTTGAATATGGTCTATAGCTAAGAGGTCACAATTAGCCATGAGTGATGTTAAAAAGAGGATTGGAAAAATGGAGAAGAAGGGGTTGAGAGTGGTTTAATCAGTTCAGAATTGCAGGAAATGATGAAAAAGTAAAGAAAAATGAAGGTTTGGGCTATAGGATCAATAGAGACTTGAGAGAATATAGTGGAGGCTCATCCCTTTGCAAATCTACAAAATGGAGAGAGACTGGTTCGTGGTGGCTATTCCCCTAAGTGTAGAGGCTAAAAAACCTATTCTAAAATATACAGCTTCACTTAACACACTCAGGTTGTGACCTTAGAATCTCATGTCATGACTTGGGAAGTCCAGGTCATGACCTCGTAAGGCTATGTCGTGACCTGAAGACATAGAGGGCCTTCAGTCTTTACCTAGCTCCAAAACACATAGTTCCATTTAAAGAGCATCCAGGTCATGACTTCATAAGCCCATGTCACGACCTGGGGACAAAGAGCACTGCAAATCTTATGTTTTGGTTCTTATGACTTTGTGGCTCCTTCAATGCTCCACCTCGGGTCTTAGATCCTTCTCTAATTGCCTGAAAATAGCAACAAAGAGCTTTGTAAATTACAGATCAAGGTAATTACCATTAAGGAGAGAAAAATGACCCTTTTTATCCCTTAAATAGCAGAATGCAATGCATGAATCAATATAATTAAAAGGATATAAATGCATGCATAATGAGGGTAAAAGTGTTACAAAACAACATAAAACACTTAGATGAGTTTGGACTTGAAATTTGGTAGGCTTATAGATCTTATTTTTAGCTTTAAAATAAGTGGTAAATCACTAAATTTGGAGTTTTGTGCTAAGAGATATGTCCTTCCAAATTTGGGTTAAAATACAGGAAATTCAAAAATTGACCAAATGAATAGTGCAACTTGTTGAATTTTCTAGCTTTGTTTCATATGGATATGAGGCCCATGAGTATTTTTGCCTTATAGAAGGCATGACAAGCTTCAAATAAATTGGAAGTACTCAGTTTCAATTTTTCTACATTTAGTTGTGAATTTTCAAAATTGGCCCAAAATTCTGTGAATAGTGTACTGAATTCGAAAATGAAAATTTTAAAGTTGACATTTGTCCATCCTTAAGCTTTGGGAAATGACTTTAAATGGTTCCAATTGATATATAATAGGGTAAATAAGGAGGTATGGCACATGCTATGTCTGCTGAGGCTATTATGAGTCCCATGCTATCGTCGACTACTCAAGTGAACAAGTATATTTGAGAAGGTTGCTAGAAAGATGCGGTGTTCTTCTCTGCTAATGTTGATAAGGAAGTAAGTATTAATCAACTTGAAGTAGTAAAAGAATTTCCAGAGGTATTTCCAAAGGAGGTGTTTGGGTTACCCTCAAAAAGCGAGGTTGAATTTTCCATTGATTTTGTACCTGGCATAGCTTCAATTTTAAAAGCACCCTATTGGATGTCACCTTCAGAACTGGCTGGGTTAAAGAAGAAGATAGAAGAACTACTTGAGAAAGGATTCATTCAACCAAGTGTTTCACTATGGGGTTCACTGGTATTGTTTGTGAGGAAGAAGGATGGTAGCCTATGATTGTATATTGATTACCGCTAATTAAATAAGTACCTATTGCCACGGATAGATGACCTCTTGGATGAGCTCATTGGATCGTCTATCTTTTCTAAGATTGACTTGAGATCGAGGTACCATCAGCTTAGGGTCAGAGCAGAGGATATTCCACAGACTGCTTTCTGTACAAGGTATGGTCACTACGAGTACTTAATCATGCCATTTGGCTTAACAAATGCCCCTGCTGTCTTCATGAATTATATGAATTGAATCTTTCAGCCTTATCTGGATTAGTTCATTGTATTTTTCATCGATGACATCCTCATCTACTATAAGAGTGAGGAGGATCATCAGGAGCATCTTCATATTGTATTGCAAATACAAAAGGACCATTAGTTGTATGCCAAGTTGTCTAAGTGTGAATTTTGGCTTAAAGAAGTAAAATTTCTTGGTCATTTGGAATCCACGGAAGGGGTGGCTGTTGATCCCAGTAAAGTAGATGTTGTATTGAAGTGGGAATCCCCAAAGTCTATAACAAAGGTGAGGAGTTTTGTCGATCTATCTAGTTACTACCAAAGATTTATTGAAGGATTCTCTCAAATCGCTATGCCATTAACTAAGTTGACTGAGAAGGATCAACCGTTCATTTGGAGTGATAAGTGTGAGGCAGCTTTCCAAGAGTTGAAGGTGAGATTAACCACTGCTCCAGTGCTTACTATTCTAGACCCCAATTGTCGCTACATGTTATATACAGATGCTTTACTTAAGGGTTTGGGTTGTGTCCTGATGCAAGGAGGTAAAGTAGTAGCATATGCATCAAGGCAATTAAGGCCCCATGAGGAGAATTACCCCACTTATGACTTGGAATTGGATGCAATTGTGTTTGCACTAAAAATATAGAAGCATTACTTATATGGGTCCTAATTTGAGGTTTTCATTGACCATAAGAGTTTGAGGTACTTGGTGGACCAGAAGGAATTGAATAATAGACAACACAGGTGAATAGAGTTCCTTAAAGATTATGACTTTAAACTTAAGTATCACCCTAGTAAAGCTAATGTGGTAGCTAATGAATTGAGTAGGAAGACAGTGCATGTGTTCCATATAAGCTTAGAGGAGCACTATTGTTTGGAGGATTTGAGAGATCTTCAGGTATTGCCTGAGATAGCAATTACTCTATAGTTAATTTTGGGTGATTATGATTTCTTTAGAGATTTAAAGGTAGTATAAATGGAAGATGTCTGATTATTGAGTATTTGAGAGGCATTGGAAAATGGAGATGTTCCAGACAATGATATTAGAGAGGAAGGGATTCTGAGGTACAAAAAGAGAATTTGTCCCTAATGATGATGAGATTAAGAAGACAATTTTAGAAGAGGCTCATCGGAGTAACTATTTGATGCACCCAAGAATAACAAAGATGCATAATGATCTAAAGAGAAACTATTGGTGGCCAAAGATGAAAAGAGATGTAATAGAATTTATGATGAAGTGTTTAACATGTCAAAAAGTTAAGATAGAGCACCAAAGGCCTCCAGGACTACTTCAGAATTTAGATATTCCTCAATAGAAGTAGGATAGCATTTCCATGGATTTCATCACTAGTTTGCTAAGGACCCCAAGCGGTTATGATGCAATTTGGGTGATCGTTGATAGATTGACCAAGTTAGTACATTTCTTACCTATCAGGGCCACATATCCTTTGGAACAACTAACACAATGATACATTGATAAGATAGTTCAACTTTATGAGTGTCGGAGTCAATCATATCTGATCGAGATCTGAGGTTTACATCAAACTTTTGGAGGTCATTACAAAGAGCCATGGGCACTTAGTTAAAGTACAATACTACATACCACCCTCAAACAGATAGGCAAACTGAGAGGATGATTCAAACTCTTGAAGATATGCTAAGATCTTGTGCAATTGAGTTCAAGGGTAGTTAGGACAATCACTTATCATTAGCAGAATTTACCTACAACAATAACTACCATGCTAGTATCTAGATGGCTTCTTATGAAGCCTTATATAGGAGAAAGTGTCAATCTCCACTCTATTGGACGGAATTGAGTAAGAGAACTATCATTGGTCCTGACTTAGTGGACATCACCAGGAAGATTGATCTGATCAAACAAAAGTTATTGATAGTTGAAAGCCGTCAAAAGAGCTATGCAGATTTTTATCAGACAACTTTGGAATTCGATGTAGGTGATCATGTGTTTTTGAAAGTTTCTCCACTCACAAGTATTGGAAGATCCATCAAAGCCAAAATGTTGACACTTAGGTTCATAGGCCCATATGAGATCTTGGAGAGAATTGGGCCTGTTGCCTGTCGTATTGCTCTGCCATCGTACTTGTCCAACATTCACAATGCGTTCCACATGTCACAACTGAAGAAGTACCATCCAGATCCATCTCACATCATTGAACCTGAAGAAGTTGAGTTATATGAGAACTTGACTTACAAGGTAAAACCAGAGTGGATTTTGGATGTGAGGGACAAGCAAACACGGAACAAGACCATCAAGGTTGTAAAAGCCTTTTGGAAAGGACTAAGTCTTAGTGATGCTACTTGGGAAATTGAGGAGTGGATACAGTGCGAGTACCCGTACTTGTTTTCTTGGTAGGTTTTTTTCGTTGTTTGTTGCATGTGTTTGTTTGAATTTTGGAGACGAAATTCATTTTAGGTGGGGAGAGTTGTAACATCCTAGTTTTTATTCCTAGTATTTAAATAACATTAGAATGAGATTAATGCTTAATAAATTATTCTTATTCTCTAGTTATTTAAGAAAAGAGAATTACTAAAAATAAGATTTTTAAAATATATATAAGAAAATTACTAAATAATAATAATAAAATGGAAAAAAAAGAAAGAAAATACAAGAAAAATGGGAAAAGGGGGTTCTAAACTGTAATTTTATCTCTTTTTAATATGGGGTTCTTAATTGGAATTTATCCTAAAAATTTTATTTAAACAGTTGAGGGGTGAGAGAAACATTTCGTCTTCTTTTCCTTCTCCCTTCCAGCAGCACCGTTCCATTTTTTTTCCAGCAGGGTTTTAATCTTTGCCAATCATTTTTGTAAGTCAAATAACTTCCTTTCATCAAACTCTCTTCATAAAAGTTTTTCTAGTCATCTAAACCTATTTAATGATAGTAATTTTATGCTGTTTGGAGAAAATTTTTGGATTTAGGGCTTCGAGCAAGTGTTGAGTTTTGATGATAGATGAACATAGTATTGTAGAGCTATTTTAGTATATCATTTATATCAGTTTAGTTTTATTTATTGATTGACCTAATATTTTTAAATGAATTATTTTAGTTAAACAGATATTTATTTGTAGAAAATATGATATTTCTACTATGGAACTTTTGATTTAAATTATTTGCTCAAGTGTATTTAATATATATTGAATTTCTAATGGTTTATTTTTTAAATTTAAAATTGAGATAGGATTTTTGAATTTTAAATATGATAATTTCATATCTTAAAAATTTGAGATAAATCTTTATTAAAGTAAATATTTTGAAAGGTTTAAATGAAAATTATGGATTGTTAGGATATTATAATTTTGTGCTAAAAGATTTAATTATGGGGTATGAGAGGTATGGGATTTTAGCACAGAGTTAGAAACTTTAAAATACATAGTAGCCCAAGTAATTGAATAACTTGTGTATTGATATGTAAATATATTGATTGTGTAGATTAAATTATTAGATTGTTGGTTTGAGCACGGGGTTAATGTTGTGGTAATCTTTTTCCTAGTGGGTGAGAGGGAACTACTTTCCACTTGTTATTCATGCTCATAGGTTGTTTGTGATTGATTTTGAATTATATGGGATTTATGAAATATTATTGAATTATGATATGAGTTATGAAGCTATGTTGTTATTGAAATTGTCTTATGGGACATTCTTAATAAAATATATATGTGTTTATGATTATGATGATTTGAAGTGTCTATGAATTAATTGAGAAATTGAAAATTGAAATTGATTTTGACATGTTGATAATTTATTATGAATATAATATTTTAGGTACTGATGTGTGAGGGGTGATGGATGTTGATGATGGGAACTATACCAAAGAGGATATAAGAGGATGAATTATGTACATTTAAGGATATAAGGTGGTGAGGCCATCAAGTGTATACCGATTGGTCCTTTTACAAAATTACTTCTTATAAGGCATTAGCACCCTACTAGTAGACTATAAGGGGAACCCATGGTCTGGTCTTGTGCTATGCGAAGATCGGTGAGTCTGGCTAATTACCAGTCACATGGATGAGGATTTAGCCCATGGGATCAATCAGAGGACATGAGGTGGGTGGATATAAGGGATTTGAGAGGATTATCAATTGTACTTTGTTATATGTTGTTACAATATGAAATTGTTTGAATACTATGAATTGCAACTGTCTTACTTGATACCTCATGAGCAGTTACATGGATGCTTGATAAGTGGGATTGTTAGTTATTGAGGCTTTTGTCTCACCCTGTTGATTTAACACCTTTTCAAGTGATAGTTTCCATTCGGCTTAGTCAAGGAAGGTTCTGGAAGTTTGAGCTATTACTACAAAATAGTAGTGCTTCTACTCTTTTGATTATGTTAGGAGAGATGTATATTGCCATAATAGGGCACATTCCACATACTCTGATATGTTTTAAGACCGATTATTTTGGCAACGTACTTTTGATTAACTGTTACTAGACTGCATGTTGGTAGAAGGCCGGAGGCCTCTAAGCATTTACATGTGATTTTTTTAATGAGTTTTGGATCCAAATGATCTTTGATACTATATGACTTTTGATTTTGGAAAGCTATGAAAGATATTATTCAGTAATGTTTTGTTTTGGGCTTATGGTTAAAAATGACATTATGAGTTTATAATGCCCAAAGACCTATTCATTGTGAATCTCATTTTGCATGCAGTTAATTTAGAAAAGTTCTTTTAATTATAATAGACATACTTATGCATTGATTTAACTCTTTCCTATGATGGTTAATTTCATGTGACTTAGGATGCTTATATAACCATGATAGTATTTTTAAATGTTTTACAAAGTTTCTTTTCTATCATGGTTAACTTTTCAATATTGATTAATTTAAAAGTGTAGTAGTTTCGTTGTTACACTGTTACTCTTTCCCGTGGGAGGACATATTGCTCTCTATTAGAGCAATGTCAACTCAACCACTCTTTACCTTGATGGAGGATATGTCGATTTTACCGGTATGACGTCTACTCTACCACTCTAGGAGGATGTATTGTTAGCATATCACTTTTACCAGTATGGCATCAACTCTACCATTTGGGAGGATGCATCATTTTTCCGTACAGCGATGTCTACTCCATCACAATTATTCCCCTTTCTTTCCTTCATATGACGGCTTGCTTTCAATCAAGCAGCATCAATTCTGATTTGGAGGACCACCTCCCAATCTTAAAGAAGTACTTTGTGACTAAGACCTTCCCCGTACCCAATCTCTATCAGGAAATCACACCCCTATTTAAGAGAACCTCTCAACCTGACTTATTTGGTCACTTTGGCAGTGACAATCATCTATAGGAATCTCAGCTTTTAGATTCCTTATTGGCCTAAGTGCTATGGTCACACTTCTCACAGATGCCTTAGGGACACGAGAAAACATCTTCTAGTCCTAAACATTATTAATCATCTAAGCATCATAAGGAAGATATTCATCTCTTTATATCAACTCCCGGTGTGACCATTATCTCTGGCATTATCATCTGTTGGCTTTACTTTTATTAAGGTCTCACTGATTATATGAGGGTTCAATTGCCACATTGTTTCCCAACTAGAGTTTAGACTTATACCCTTGTCTAGTTTAGCCCACTCAACTTAAACTATTCCTTTCTTCAAGGGTAGTCTCTTCACTCTAAGTAGTGGCTACCTACCTCCTCATTACTCTCCCTTATTCTACTTCTACTTTTGCTTACATAGAGGAAAGATTCTTTATATCACTAGCAACCTTTTTTCAATTATTTGTCAACTTGGGCCTCAGTCACAACATTTAATGTTATATCTACATATAGGACTATTTCCTTTCAGAGAAAGCTTAAGGATCTTACCCTTACAGGCTAGGAGTACATCATGGGAAGACAACTAGTTAAAATCATTAACAACATCCAAGTTGCAGGATGGCATGCATTTCAAAGCTGGGGGAATGCAGCAATAATCATATTAGACAATACAATTCAAACATATTTTAAGCTTAAAGGGAGTGGATACAAACAAATCATGTTACAAGGAATCATAGTGAGACCCAATGGCCTAAGACAATTGCATACCACAAACTCATGGCTTGTGCTTGTATCAAACATCAAACATACAAGGTAATAACTGATACTGATCATACCTTGTGTCCTCAAGCATCTTATAAGCCTTCTCTTGTATAAGGGCAAATGCTCATCCCTAATTCTAGAGTCTCAAACTATCTCTACCTTGCTTATACTCTGTGGCTAACTGTGTAACATTCCAACTTTTGTGCCTAGAAGTACCAGAAATAGCCTGAATTGGATAGGCTACTAGACCCTTTTTTAGCAGAAGTCCCAAAGATGAGAAATGAAGTCAAAGCAATTTCAGGGACAAAATTACAAATTAAAAGTTTTCAGGGCTCAAGTATAATCAAGGCTAGAGGCTCCAATAAAGTCTTAAGGGCCCAGAAAGAGAAAAGAGGCTAGATACAAGCCAAAGGTTAAGTTAGAAACCTCAAAGAGAAAATTGTATGAAATTAAGTCCAACAAGGACTAAACCGTAAATTCAGAAAGTTACGACCAACAGGGGTAAAAATGGAAGAGTATACAGAGAATTCCAAGAAAATCCCAAAAAAATGGGAAATAATATTCTAAGGCTCTTTTGTGAAGAGAAAGACAAAAATACCCCTCAGGTAGCTTAAATGGAATTTATAAGCTTGTGGCTGGTAAAAAGTACATGGTTTGAGGTAATTATTTAAACTAGCAAGAGACCTCAAAAATATACACAAAAATGAAGTTAAATGGTTGAAAGGTTGTACTAATTTATAAAATTAGTCTCATAACTAAAGGCCAGTGGAGTGGCTTTAATAAATTAAAAAGCTGATTATGCCGATAAAAGGGTATTTTAGTAAATGAATTTTTATGCAAGGCTTAAAGGAAGTGTTATGGCCTAAGAAAATCAAAGATACTCTCTACAATTAAAGGAAATTTATGGAGCAGATAGAAGAATTTTCTGAGCTCTAGAAGGCCGTCAAGAAAGCCGGAGAAACGTGAGCTAAGTAAATTCAGAGGAAACTTAAGGATTAAGTTTTGATCCAATGGCTAGGATTTAATCTCCCTTCTCCTCCACCATATTTGTGAAACTTTGTACCTTCTAGGAGAATGAGGTAAGGATGATGCAGGAAGATGATGTAAAAGTCAACTTAAAGTTTCAAAATTACCCTTACCCTTTCTATTAGCCACCAAGGGCATTTTGGTCCATTTAAGCCAAAGTTTTGGCTATAAATACCCCACCTTGGAAGAGCATTTTGGCAGCCATTTGTAGAGGGAAAATGCTACCAAAATATAGAGAGAAAAACGTAGGGGTGAAGGCCAAGAAGAAGGAACAAGATTCAAGCTTCAAGATCAAGG